AGGAGGCGCCCTCGCCCGCCGCCTGTGGCCAGCCGGTGGAGTGTCTCGCCTCGGCTCCTCCTCCTCCTTCCCTCCTACCTCCCTCCTTCTCCTCCATTCCCCATTCCTCCTCCCTCCTCCTCTCATCTTCCTCCTATCCTCCATCCTCCTCCCTCCCCTCCCTCCCTCCCTCCTCCCACTCCCTCTCCCTCCTCCCTCCTTCCTCCTCCCTCCTCCTCCTCCTACTCCTCTCCTCATCCCCCTCCTCCCCATTGCCTACTTTCTTCTCTTCATCCTCCTCCTCCTCCTTCCTACTCCTTCCTTCCTCCTTCCCCATTTCCCCTTCCCAGTCCTCCTCCTCCTCCTCATTATTAGCCTTCCTCCTGCTGCTCCTGCTCTCCTGCCTCCCCTTTTTTCCTCCTCCTCCTCCTCCTCCTCCTCCTCCTCCTCCCCCTTCTCCCCCTCCTACTCCCTCCTCCTCCATTCCTTTTCCTTGCAAATAACTGCTCCCTGTCGCGCCCCGAGGTCAGTTTTTGGGGCGGGCCGGGCGTTTCGTCTGAGACGTCCTCACCACTCATGACTCTGAGGCTGAAAGTGTGACAACGGCTTCACAGGTGGAGGGCGGGTAATTTTCAAAATTGTGCTCTCGCCTTAGCGCCGCGCGCATTCGCTCTCAACATGTGCAAGAGTTTCGCGGATTGGGGGAGGCTGATTTTCAACATATGGGTCTCGCCTGAGCGCCGCGCACGTTCGTTTCAGACATGTGCAAGAGCTTCACGGAGTAAGGGCGGTTCTTTTTCAGCATGTGGTTCTCGCCTTAGCGCCGCGAACATTCGTTTTAAACATTTGCAAGAGTATCACGGATTGAGGGCGAGTGGTTTTCAAGATGTTGTTCTCGCCTTAGCGCCGCGCAAATTCCATTGAATGAATTGCAAGAGCTTCATGGATTAAGGGCGGTTCTTTTTCAACATGCGGCTCTCGCCTGAGCGCCGCGCACACTTGTTGTAACAAGCTGTGAGAGATTCACGGATTGAGGGCGGTTCCTTTTCAACATGTGTTTCTCTCTTGTAGCGCCGCGCACATTCGTTTCAAACATTTGCAAGAGTATCACTGCTTCCCCTGATCAGCGTACCAGAAATGGTGCTTCGGAAAGATACAGGATTATGCTGGTGCAGCAGTTATGTTGATTCGCGGTGTTGAAGTCTCAAAATTGCGTAGTGGCGCGATTCCGGATCGTCAAGACGCAGAAGTCAGGTTTATCCGTGGCGCTGAAATCCCGAGAACAATGTGTTGGCATGCTTCAGGGTCTTCAAACACTTGTCAGTTGTCTTCCCACGAGGCAGTTCCCTCAACGGAGACGAACGTTGTAGGGGCCGGTGACGAGAGAGCTTGGAGGGAAGGTTATTTCCGACAACGTTGATGATTCTTGGGCTTACACCCTAGACATGCGACGTCCTGATTCTTTCGGGACGGGGTCCCTGGAAGTCCCGACCCTTTCCCCGGGACCAGTTTTTTATCCTGAGTCGTTTTTTGACGGTCCCGAGGCCTGGCGACGGCCCCCCGCGGCCGAAAATGGTCAAACACCTCCCGTCCTGATTTTTTTACGACGCGATCATGTCTGGGACTGGGACTGTTGTTCCTCCTTTCTTCCTCCTCCTCCCCCCTCCTCCCCCTCCCTCCTCCCTTCTCCTGTCCCCTCCTCCTCCTTTCCTTCCTCCTCCCACCTCCCTCCTCTCCTCCTCCTCCCCCTCCCTCCCCTGCTCATCCCCTCCTCCTCTTCCTCCTCCTCCTCCTCCTCCTTCGGTTCCTGTGGAGGACCCTCTCCCCTCGCCCTCGACTCCCTGCCGCCCCGTGGCGCCAGCCTCGCGGGGCTCGCCGTGGTGAACGGGTCGCTGCGGGCCCTGCACGCGCGCGGGGGCCGCTGGGCGCTCGCCGGCGCGGTGCGCGCGCCAAAGCCCGCGGGCCGCTGGGTCGCCGTGGCGCTCCGCGCCGGCAGCGATGGGCCAACTTTCCACCACCGCCACCAGATGCAGGACGGGGAAGACGGGAGGATGGGGAGGTCCTCACTTCTCTCCTCCTCCTCCTCTTCTCCTCCTCCTCCACCTCCTCCTCCTCCTCCTCCACCTCCTCCTCCTCCTCCTCCTCCTCTTCCTCCTCCTCCTCCTCCTCCTCCTCCTCCTCCTCCTACCCCCCCTCTTCTACCTGTGGTAGCGGTGGTGGACAATCGGCCCAGCAGGCAGGGGCCTCGCGCTGGACGAGCGGGGGGACGTGCACGAGCTGCACGCCGCCTCGGGGAGCTGGGCGGGCCCCGAGCGCCTCGGGAAGGGGCTGCGGTGGCGGGGGCTCTGCGCCCTGCCGCCCGCCGAGGGCGGCGGGCCCAGCTGGCTCGCGCTGGGGTCGCCGCTGGGGGGCTCTGGGCCCGCGGAGTTCTGGCGCTTCTCGCGGCCCGCCGATGGGCGCGGCGCGGCGTGACCGGAGGCTCACCACAAGAAAGAAAGGAAGAGCCGAGACAACAACGGTGTTGGACCTCGGGTGGGGGGCCGTCGTGGACACGGCCGGGCGCAGCTCGGAGCTAACTGGTGCGTCCGGGCCCTGGGCCCTGGGAGGGGTCCCGGGATAGATTCGGAGCTGCCGCGTTGTCTCCATTCGCCCCCCCTGCGCGCGGCGGTCTCCGCTGGAGGGGGCTGGGCGTGCCTGCCTCCGCCCGAGCGCAGGGGTGGCTCCGCCGCAGGGCCACGGGGGGGGCTGGCGGCTGCGGCCGCGGTGCTCGTTCACGATGCGAGCCCAGACCCCCTCGGGCAATGAAAAAAACATGACGGGAGGTTATTCGCTATTTTCGGCCTCGGGGGGCCCTCGCCGGGCCTCGGGACCGTCGAAAAACGACTCAGGATGAAAAACCGGTCCCGGGGAATGGGTCGAGATCTTCAGGGGTCGACGCAATGAAAAAATCATGACCTCGGGGATCTGGGAGCGGTGGCCCTTGTCTCTTCCACCGCCGCGTGTGCTCTCCCGCCTCCCTGGCGGTGGCGTCCCTGGGCCTGCAGGGCCTACCTCTGGGTTCTCTTGGAGCCTCGGGGAGATGTGTGGGGGGGGCCCTGAGGGCCGACTTCGGGCCGTGCAAGATACACTGCAGCGACATCTGTTTCTGTATATGTGTCCCTTTCCGCACGATATTGGGGCTCACTTGGGCAGCCTTGAGGCATATCGGGGCAATGTTGGGCTATCGCTGGGCCTTCAGATCGCAGAGTTGGTTGTGCTGTGCTGTGCATCTTGCAGGGCGCCAAACGTAGTACGGTTGGTTGTACGTTTAGCAGCCCCCAGGGCCCAGGGCGCAACACATGACATTTTAATGCGCATGCTTCCCAGAAACGAGGCAAGCTCCAGGTTCTAGGGGCTCGAGAGCTCAAACTCAAGCCGCAGTAGTCCTGCATATTGCAAGATGTCAGGGTCAGTGGCGCGCTCCTGGCCACCCTTGCGTCGCGGCTTCCTCGCTCCTCTGTCGCGTATCCTCGTTGGTCTCGTGACGCTTGCTCCAATCCCCGTTGGCCCTGTCGCCCAGCATGTGGTGCGTCGTTCGCCTTGTCGACTCGTGCCCCCCTTCCCCCACGCGCGCGTTGTTCGCAGTGCCCGCCGCGGTGCGCAGAGTTTGCCCATTGGCACGATGCGTGAACGCGCCTGATTCTCGCCATCGTCGCCGCGCTGCACCCCGCTGGCAGCGTCACCTCGCGGCATCCATGCTCAGAGGACGGCGAGTTGAGACAGCGGTGGTTGGCCATCGGGGGGACCCCTTCGTCTTAGTATCGTTTAACCGATCCCCATCCCCATCCCCATCCCCTTCGAGACCCCCACCAAAATACCACCCCAGTTGGGGATACACCCCTCGAAACCCAAAGGGAACGGCCTATATCCCCATCTACGGGGCTAAATCTGCCAGTGGGGCCCAGGCTACGCCGCTGGGGATGGGGATCGGTTAAACGATACTCATCGTCGCCACTTGCTGGACGCAGCTTGAGCTGGTGCCTTTGGACCTGGGGAGAGGTATCCCGGAGCCGATCTCGAGCTATACCGTTGTCTCGGCTCGCCCTGCGCCGGAGTGCATATGCTGGGCTCTTTGCCGCATCCCCTTGTCACACACTTGCCGTGCCAAGACATGCGACGTCCCGTACGGGGTCCCTGGAAGTCCCGACCCTTTCCCTGGGGACGCTTTTGCGTCCAGAGTCGTTGTTTGGCGGTCCCGAGGCCCGGCGAGGGCCCCCCGAGGCCGAAACAGGGGCAAAAACCTCCCGTTCTGATTTTTGTTCAACGACGCGATCGTGTCTGGGTCGCCTCCTCGCCTCGCCGCGCGGGGCGCTCGTTGGGTCCGTCTCGCCGCCTCGCCGCCACTTGCCGCCCCACTGCCGGGTGCGCGCGGCCCGCCGCGCCGCTCCTCCGCTGGCTGCCTCTCTTCTGCGCTGCCTCTCGCTGCGCGCTGTGCGCAGGCTCCCTCGACGGCATGCCGCTTCGGTGCTCGTGGCGAGATCCTTTCTTCCCAGACGTGGTCGCGTCGTCGCAAAAACCAGGACGGGAGGTTTCTAGCCAATTTCGGCCTCGGGGGGCCCTGGCTGGGCCTCGGGACCGTCAAACAACGACCCAGGATGAAAAACAGGTCTCGGTGAAAGGGTCGGGACTTCCAGGTACCCCGTACTGAAAAATCAAGAGGTCGCATGTCTGGGTTTGGTGCTCGTGGCGACTTCTTGCCTTCTCTGCCGCTGAGGCGCCGCGGACTTGAAGCTTCGCTGCGTGCTGCTCTCGCTGCGGCCGTCCATCCGTCGCCTCGAGGTCCGATGTGTTCCGCGCAGGGCCGCCCGCGCGCTGCGCTGCCCACGCCGTCGCCTCGCCGCCTCGCTGCCGGCCGTGTTCCCGCGCTGTGTGGCGGGTGCCGGGCGCAGCCCATGAGCACGACGGCCCCCCGAAGGCCGCCGCCTCCGAAGCAGCCCCCGTGCCCCGTCCGCGCGAGAGCTCGAGATCCGCCCCGCCGGCAGGCACCGCCGCCTCCGCCGCTGCCGGCAGCCACGCCCGAGGCGCACCGCGGCTTCCCTTTCGAGAAGCACCGTGCGATGCCCGCGCGCCAGGGTGAACTCGGCCTCGGGGGGCTCTCGCCAGGCCTCGGGACCGTCCAAGAACGACGCAGGATGCAGAACCAGTCCCGGGGCGCGGGTCGGGACTTCCAGGGGCCCCGTCCTGAAAAGATCAGGACGTCGCATGTCTGGGTTACGGACCTGCGTATACGGCAGGTTCGTGTCGTGTCGACCAGCGGCGACCCCGCCGCCGGCGTTCAACGTTGAACGCCAGCGGCTCAGAATCGGTCGAAGTTGAGCGATGGGGCGGTGCGCAAGCGGCCGACCGTTCAAGGCTGAGCGACCCCCACGGTGTCGGGAACCAACGCCCGGGTCGACACGACACGCACTTGCCGCACGTTACCCAGATCTCCCGGCGTGTTTCCTATTATATGTATATATATGTATATATGTATATGTGTGTATGTGTGTATGTATATATATATATATATATATGTAAATATGTGTATATATATATGTGTATGTGTGTATGTGTTTCGATCTTGGTGGTTTTCCTCGATGGCGGCTCCTGCTGGGGCCCGTTGTCGGGTCTTGGGGCCCTCAAAGATGGGCCCGTAGCAAAAAAAACTCTCCCTGGGGAAGGGGTCGGGGGCCGCGGATTGCGAGCATAACATCGGAGGATGTCTATATGCTCCTTGTAAGCTGATTGCAGTGGTAAAGCGGGGGTACATCATCGGGCGACGCGTGACTGAAGTTCTGGATGCCTGGCTCTCTCTGCGGGCTGGCCTGGGGAGGGACCACAGAGACAGGGCCGGGGGGCGAATCGGTCTTTGAAGGTTTGGATCGTGTCGAGCATCATTGCCGGCGTTGCGCCCTTGGCAGGGGGGGGGGGCATGCCGCTTGGAGAGCCCCCTGTTCCATCAGGAGTTGCGCGCGCCGCTCTGCAGTGTGCCGCCTGATCGACTGCGCGCGCATGCTCGTGCGTTTCACGCACGCACGCATGCCTGACATTCAGCGCGTACGCTACTGGCAGACAGCGTCGTGGATGCCTCCACCATCGTGGCCTGCGTTCTCTTTCGGCTAAGATGCAGAAGCTCCGAGCAGAAGCTCCGCGCCAGCGGACAGACACCCAGGTTAGCGACGTCCTGATTTGTTTTTTAATGCGGGGCCCCTGGAAGTTCCCACCCTTTCCCCGGGGACGCTTTTCCGTCCCGAGTCTTTTTTGACGGTCCCGAGGCCCGGCGAGGGCCCCCCGAGGCTGAAAAAGGGCCAACAACCTCCCGTTTTGATTCTTGCTTCACGACGCGATCATGTTTGGGGAGGGAAATCGCACTGCCACTGAAACTGCGCCCAGATGGCGAGCCATGCCCGGGTGCAGCTGCCTACACGGCAGGTTAACCCTCGGCTCCCCACCTCGCTCCCTCTCTCTGGCCGCCCCGCCCCTTGCATTCCCGACGAGACGAGCGCGGGACGGTAACACGCCTCCAGCTGCAGCTGCTGCTCCCCTGCCTTCAGCTCGCTCGTTCCTGGCTGCCCCCGCGTGGTGGGATGTTCTTGCTGCTCCCCGCCTCCAAGCCGCTCGCTCCGCGTCCGGTTGTGGCAGGCTCGCGCAGGACCAAGCATTTTCTCTGGGTGGAGGGCAAAGGGTGACATCTGAAATGCCGTTTCGACTGATTATCGATGTTCGACTCTGCAAACAGGTGAACAACAGGACGGATTTGTTTCCGAGGTGCATAAGCCCACATGAAGTTCACCCTGAGCCCTCCACCCTAAGAACATGCTCAGGCAGGAGCTCTGCGTTCCGTGTGCCTCGCCCGTCAGGGAGCAACAGGCTGGGGGGGCAAGTGCAGCGCAGCGTCCCCCGCAGCGCCTCGCTGCCGTTTTTCTCCCCTCGGCGCCCAGCTTTCCTTCTTCGGGTCCTGTGCCCCGAGGCCTCGCACGTCCCCGGCAGTGGGGCGACAAGTGGCAGCGAGGCGGCGAGGCAGGCATGACGAGCGCCCCGCGCGGCGAGGCGCGGGGGCGACCCAGACACGATCGCGTCGTACGACAAAAATCAGGACGGGAGGGTTCTCACCCCTTTTTCAGCCTCGGGGGGCCCTCGCCGGGCCTCGGGGCCGTCAAACAACGACTCGGGACGAAAAAGCGTCCCCAGGGAAAGGGTCGAGGTTTCCAAGGGCCCCGTAGTGGAACAAACAGGACGTCGCATGTCTGGGGTTGCAAGTGTGCCAGTGCCTCCGGGAAGGCTGCACGTGAGAGCTGAAGGGACACTCGTAGCAGCAAGCGCGCAGTCGGCGTTGCCCTTGGTGGACACTCGCCGATGGCAATCCACCTCCTCCCGCTCCGCCTTCTGCCATCCCGTCTTTCTCTGCCCTGCCCTCCCCCCACCTCTCTATCTTCACCCCTCCCTCCTTCTGCCTCCTGCCCCTTCTCCCCGTTGTCTCTCGAGACCCCACAGAGCCCGCTTCGGACTTTCCTAGATTCACGTGAGACGTCCCGAGATGTTCAGGAGTCCTTGCTCCTGAAGCCAACCCATCCTCATGAAACTCACTGCTTCTTGTCGCCATCATCGTCCTCCTCCTCCTGCCCTCCTCTTATGCCTCCCCCTCCCTCTCCTCCCCACCTCGCCCACCTCCCACTTCCCGGGACCCTTCCCCCCTTTCACACCTTTGTTCCCCTACTACTCCCTCCCCTCCTCACCCCGCTCTTCTCCCCGCCCCCTCCCTCCTCCTTCTCTCTCCTCCCTCTCCTCCTCCTCCTGCACCTACCTCCTCCTCCCTCCGCCCTCCCTCCTCCCTCCCCTCCCTCCCCGCCCCCTCCTCCCTCCCCACTCCCTCCTCCTCCTGCACCTACCTCCTCCTCCTTCTCCTCCTCCTCCTCCTCCGTCCCCCCTCCCTCCTCCGTAGCCAGTTTGGCTCAAGCCATTTCGCGTCCGAGCGGCCCCTCCTGAATGGGCCCCCGCGCGAGCCTTTCGAGCACGGACTCTGGAATTTCCTGGCCCTCGAGGGCCACCATGACGAATCGCCGCGCCCAACATCATCGGCTACAATGCTGAGATCAGGCGCGGGCGAGGCCGCCAGGAGGAGTGCCCTGCCCCGTTCACTCCTTGCTCTCTTCTTCCTCCCTCTCCTCCGCCCCTTGGCGAGCAGTGGCGATCGCCGACGCCAGGCTGCTACAACAGTGCAAGAGTCAAACCTCAAGGAATCCAGCATTGTCAGCAACAACGCTGGGATCGGATCGCGCGAGAAAAGAAGCAGTGGCAGCCGCTATTGCCAGTGCGAGGAAGGACACGCAATGGCAGCAACCTCTGTCATCGCGGGAGCGCAGGTGCAAGAGCCAAACACCATCAGCTACACCGGCGAAGTCAGCTCGTGCGCAACCATAGGCAGTAGCGGCAAGCGCTATCAATGCGAGAAGAGCAAGCAGTGGCAGCAGGCGTTGCCAATGCGAGAGTCGACGCGTGGAGCGACATAATCAGCTACAGCGCTGAGGGCCGCCCGTGCAAGAAAGGCGATACGGCGCGGGCTAACGTTATCAGCCACAGGGTTGGGGCGAGCTCGTGCGTGTGAGAAGGCCGAGCAATGGCAGCACACTCTGTCGTTACTGAGCGATATGGACGGCGACGGTAGAGCCCGCTGTCATCAGCCACAGCGTTGGGATCAGGGCTTGCGGGAAGAGCGCAGTGCGAGAAAAGCGAGGCCGTGTGTGCCAACGTCACCAGCTACAGGGCTGGGGCCAGCTCTTGTGTGTGTTTGAGAAGTTAGACACATTGAAGCAAACTCTGTCGTTACTCAGCGATATGGACGGCGACGGTAGAGCCCATTGTCATCATCCACAGCGTTGGGATCAGGGCTTGCGGGAAGGGCGCAGTGCGAGAACAGTGAGACCGTGTGTGCCAACGTCACCAGCTACAGGGCTGGGGCCAGTTCTTGCGTATGAAAGGCCAGCAAACTCTGTCGTTAGTTACCCAGCGAGATGGAAGGCGACGATCGAGCCCGCTGTCATCAGCCACAGCGTTGTGATCCGTGCTTGCGACAAAGGCGCATTGTGAGAAAGGCGATGCCGTGCGGGCCAACGTCGTCAGCTACAGGGCTTGGGCCAGCTCGTGTGTGTGAGAAGGCCGAGCAGTGGTAGCAAATTCTGTCGCTACTCAGCGAGATCAAAGGCGAAGCTGGAGCCCGATATCATCAGCTACAGCGTGGGGATCAGGGCGCGCGAGAGGTCGCTTGCGTCCTGGCGTTTGTCCTCCTGGCCGTGCGAATTCTGACGTCTGGGGAAAGTTCGGCGGGCAGCGCGTGCGAGAAGGGCCCAGTGCGGCAGGCGGCTCTGGCACCACTCGGCGAGAACTTGGAGGTGAAACTGGAGCCTGAGGTCGTCCGCAACGTGGGAACGAGCCAAACAACATCAGCCACGATGCTGCTGGGGTCAGCTCGTTCGAGAAGATAGGCAGTGGCAGCTCGTGCTGGCAGAGCGAGGACGCAAGCAGCGGTAGCAGGGGTTGGCAGCAGGCTCTGTCGCACTTCGCCGGTCAGAGGAAGGTGAAGTTAGAGCCCGAGGTCAGCAGCTACATTGGGGAAGGCGAAGCCAGAGCATGATTTCAGCCACAGCGCTAGAATCAGGACGTGCGAGAAGAGCGCAAGGCGACGCTAGAACCCAATCTCTCACCAAACAGTTCTGGTAACGGCGTAGGCGGGAAAGCGGGAAAGTGGCAGCAGACTATGTCGCTACTCGCGAGATAGCGGGGGCCAAAGCCGCAGCCAGATGTCATGAGCTATCGTGACGCCCAGGAAAGGCCTGGGGGATGAGTGTACTCTTCATCGCCGTCTCAGTTTGCATGAGCACGGTTGAGGGGATCAGGCAGGCGAATCGAGGGCGAATCCAGCCCCTCCCCCCTCCTATTTCCCCCCTCCTATCTCCCGCCACACGCAAGAACCTTCCCGAGAGATCTGAATACTCTTGGAACGCCCTCCGAGAGACCGCTCCTCCCTCCAGCTAAGACGCAGCGGATGTGTACACAACCCCTGGGACGGGGCGAGCACTCACAAAGCCCCTGCCCCAACCTCACCCCCAAACCAATCTCCTTTTCCTCCTCCCTCCTCCTCCTGCTCCTCCTCCTCTCCTCCTCCTCCTCCTCCCCTCCTCTCCTCCTCCCTCCTCCTCTCTCCTCCTCTCCTCCTCCTCCTCCTCCTCCTCTCCTCCTCCTCCTTCTCCCTCCTCCTCCTCCTCTCATCTCATCTCTCATCCTCGTCATCCTCCTCTTCCGTGATCTCCTGATCTCCGATTCCTCATCCACCCGCCCCCCCCGTCTTCCTTCCTCTGCCCTCCCTCTACCCCTCATGCTCGAGATCGTCAGGGATCACCCCAGGCACCCAGGAACAGCCTAGACTCCTGAGTCTCATCCTCCCTCATCCCTCATCCCCTTTCTGCCGTTCGCCGATCCATATCCTCTTCCTCTTCCTCCTCCCTCCTTCCTTCCTCTCGCTCGCTCATCTCTCCCTCCCGTCGTCCCTCCTCTCCCTTCGCCTCTCCCTCCCCCTTGCCTCCCTCCCCCTCCGTCCCCTCCCTTCCCCGCCCTCCCTCCATCGCCCCCCCCGCGCCTCTTCCCCCTCCCCATCCCTCCTCCCCTCCCCCCTCCCTCCTCGATCCTCGATCCTCGATCCTCTCCTCCTTCCCTCCCCCCTCGCCTCTGGCCCCCCTCGCGGGCCGCCGCCACACCGCGGCCCGAGGTGGGACAGACACTTGCGCCACAACCGCAGGCAGTTGAGGACCGGGTGCGCCTACCGCGCGCCGTCCCCGCGCGCCGTCCTCGCCGCCGCCGCCGCCGTCGTCGCCGCCGCCGCCATCGTCGTCGTCGTCGTTCTCCTCCTCCTTCTCCCCCTCACCCCCTCCCTTCCCAGGTACTGGGGTCCCCAGGTGGCTGTGGGCAGAGCTCGGCGAGCTCAGGAGCCAGAGGGCCCGCTCCCGTAGAATTGGACAAGGCGCCATTCTGGCAGGGCCCCGCCTGCCCCTCATCCCCCTCCTTCTCTGCCATCCTCGCGTCCTGAAAGACATCGCGGCCGCAGGTCTTTGGGGTCACCTTCGGTTTCCTGGTGCCCTCACCGACCGCCGGGGGCCGGCAACAGACTACCCAGGATGATGAACTGTTATCAGGGAAGCGGTCCAGACCTTTGGGGACCCATGCTGTGAGCAAAAACACGGCGTCGGAAGCCTGGGTCCTCCTCACTCTTCCTTCCTCCTCCCATCCACCCTTCTTGGACCCTCCTCATGCCCACCCATCCCTCCTCATCCCATCCTCCTCTCTCCCTCCTCCCCACTGCCTCCCTCCTCCCTCCCTCCTCCCATCTCCTTCCCATTGCCTCCCTCATGAGCCCCCGGCCAAGGGAGGATGGTTGGCGCCTGTGTGGTTTTCGTCCGCGGAGCAGGGCGGGATATGAGTACAGCCGAAATTGATTTGGGGCTTTAGGTTCTACACCTGCGGCGCCTCCAACGATGGAGCGATCCCATGCGGCGCTGCGAGGCTTGACGCTTCCTCCTGCCGAGTCGATCCGATCACTCCTCCCCATCGCCTCCCCCCTCCCTCCCTCCCCCTCCTCCCTCCTCCATAGCCCTCCTCCTCCTCATCATCATCATCATTATCATCATCATCATCATCATCCTCATCATCACCCCCATCCTCATCCTCATCCTCATCCTCATCCTCCTGCTTCCTTCGACCTCCGTCAGGCGCACGCGCGCGCCACCATTGCGCGCCGTCGCCCGCGGCGGGGTAAGGAGGGAGGGAGGAGGAGGAAGACGGACCGAAAGTCTAAGCACCGCGTCGGCGCCAGGGAGGAGGAGGAGGAGGAGGAGGAGGAGGAGGAGGAGGAGCAGGAGGAGGAGGTGCAGGAGGAGGAGGAGGAGGTGCAGGAGGAGGAGGAAGAGAGGGAGGGGGGGAGGGGGGAGGGGGGGAGGGAGGGAGGGACGGAGGGACGCAGGGACGGAGGGAGGAGGAGGAGGAGGAGGAGGAGGAGGAGGAGGAGGAGGAGGAGGAGGAGGAGGAGGAGGAGGAGGACGACGAGGGACCTTGCACAGTGGCTGCAGCTCGGCCCTCATCGTGCTGGTCCTCTTGTTTGTCTCCACACTGCCTCGCTTTCTTGTCTCGTCTCTCCCCCCTGGTGGACTTGTGCTGTGCCCCTCCTCTACCTCTCCTTGCTCGGGTGCCCCTCCCAAGTCTCATGCTTGCCGCGGGGGCGGCGTCGGCGGCCACGTGTCCGGACCCGGACTGACGCCGCGAGCGGTTGCTCCCACGAACACGCACGGTGAAATCCGAGCCCTGCCTCCGCCTCCCATCGGTTCCGGAGAACCGATGGCTGGTGTTGGAGGGACTCGGGGGTCACCGCCCATGGTGCGCGCCGCCACTCTGGACTTACCTCGGGCCTGTCCTTGGCATCGCCCGGACGTGTGCATTGTTCTTTCGGCGAGGACCATCGAGGAGCATCCTTGATGACTTGGCGAAAAAAACACGCACGAAGCCGACAAAAACACAGGGAATGGACGTCCGAGCGATGGCCAGTGTCCCTCTACAGGAGGAATGTTCAAAAGTAGTCCAATGATCTGGAGACGATGTTCTTTACTGTTTGTGACCATTTGGGGATCTTCTGGGGCTCCTTCTTCATCTTTCCTTCAAAGTCCGCCTGTTATGGGGAGCACGCCCGACCTACTCCGCGGCCTGACACCCCGTGCGACGTGCCCGAGGCCCTGCGCGCCCTCCGGCGGCGAGCCGCGCCGCGCCAGGACCACCTGCGCTCCCTGCAGCAGTGGATGGGCGGGGCGGCGATGTGGCGCCAGGCCCTCGGCTCGCGCGCCCTCCCAGGACTCGGGCCGGACGACAGGGGGGGGATTGGGAAAGGGGGGTTTACGAAATTTGCTGCATGCAGCTGGTTTCGGCCCCACCGAGGGGCCCACTCCTCGACACAGGGCCGCCTCCCGGCGCCGGGAGGCGCCGGGAAAATCGGCCACGTGAGCTGGTTCTCAAACCCCCCCTTTGCTTTCCCCCCCTTTCGCCCGGCCCGAAAGACGCGCAGCGTTCGGAGCAGCAAGCGCGGACCACCGTCACCACCGCGAGCCCATGAGTTCAGATCGGGCATGTCGCCCTACAGGCAGATTTTCTGTGGCGGAAGAAGATAGAGTAGACAGACATGTGTAACAATTGTCATCGAAATAGAACTCATAGACATAATATGGCGAAAATACTAGAGACATCGTCCCCAGACTATGTTTTGACCATTTTGAATACTCCTCCTTTAGAGGGACATGCCCGACTTGACCCATGCGTGGGGTGCTGACCCCTGTGCGGTGGCACGCTCGGCCGTCGCCCCAGTACACCACGACGCTCGGGCGTGCCGCGGCTCAGGGGCTGATCCCTCAGCGACGGGGCCGCGGCGGCTGCAGTCGTAAAGTTCCTCCCCTGAAGGGTCCCGAAATAATGAGGGCGGAAGTTTTTCCTCCATCTTCGGCTTCTGAGAGCCCTTCCCGCCCTCCTCCTCCTCCTCCTCCTCCTCCTCCTCCTCCTCCTCCCCCTCCTCCTCCTCCTCCTCCTCCTCCTCCTCCTTCTCCTCCTCCTCCTCCTCCCCCTCCTCCTCCTCCCCGTCCTCCTTCTCCTCCTCCTCCTCCTCCTCCCCGTCGTCCTCCTCCTCCTTCCCAGGCGGCCCCGGGAAAGTCCAAAGTCGAGCCAGAGTGAAGGGCAGGCCCTGGGGAAGGAGGGGCCAGCGCTCTCGGCTCGCTCCCATCGTGACCCCCCGAGCTCTGTTTGTTTTGTTGTTGTTGTTGTTGTTGGTGTTGGTGTTGGTGTTGCTGTTGCTGTTGTTATTGTTGTTGTTGTTGTCGTTGTTGTTGTTGTTGTTGTTGTGCTGTTGGTGTTGTTGTTGGTGTTGGTGTTGTTGTTGATGGTGTTGTTGTGGTTGTGGTTGTGGTTGTTGTTGTTGTTGCTGCTGTTGTTGCTGCTGCTGATGTTGATGTTGTTGTTGTTGTTGTTGTTGTTGCTGCTGCTGCTGCTGCTGCTGCTGCTGTTGTTGTTGTTGTTGTTGCTGCTGCTGCTGTTGCTGTTGTTGTTACTGTTGTTGTTGTTGTTGCTGTTGAACACTATTACTTCTAAAGAATTATTATTGTTGGACCCCCTGGTGCACGCCCCCCGCCCAAAACCTAGGCCGCAGCTACATTTTCATCATTTTTCTGCGAAAGCTTCAGAAAAGTGGATTACCCCCGGATCCGGTTTTTTGTTGACGCTCGTTTTCCCTTGCAAAAAACAATAGAAAATGAAAATTCTTGTTCTTAGTTGATCAAATTTCAAGAATCCCTTGCAAAAAATAAGGTAAAGTGGACATTCGCGCTCGCAAGACGAAATCCTTCCAAAACCTTAGGTTTCGTAACGATTTTAACATAAAAACATCAAAAACCCAATGGTTTTTTAAGAAAAAATTGTCAAAATGTCCTTCCGCGCGCTCTTGCGGATTCATAGGAAACACACCACTTTTTAAACATTTCTGTCAAAAGGGTCTTTGCGTGCTACTTCTTCAGGTGCTTTGAACTTCTCCAACAACGGTTGCGCGCCTGCGAGGGCCACCATCCCTTGCAAAAAATGAGACGAAGTGCACATGCGCGCGGCCGCCGCGCGCGCATGTCGAAATCCTGCCAAACACAATGGGTTTTCAATAATTTCAAGATGCGATGTTCAGAAAACATATGAAAACGAACCCATTCCTCATCCGAAAAACTACACGACACGCTGTGCACCGCAGCAGGTATCGTCGCCTGGAAAGCCAACCTCTTCGTCCACCCGGGCCAGTGGGTGTATCGCAGTATGCGGTATTTGCTCGGTCAGCTCGCTATTCCCATTCATGCGGAGATCGTATCCGGCCTCTCCTACAGGGCCCTGGCCACCTTGGACGTATTCATTGCGTACCACGCGGCCTTCATGGGTACGGACCCGCAGAAAATGGCCCTTTGGAACGTATCCCCTGAGGTCGGCACAGAGATCACGTATCCGCGTCAAGACCAGTGGTGGTGGTTGCCCGTATGGCGGTCGTATGGTCAGAGCGACGAGCTTCCGAACATGCTCGATTACCAGGCCTTGCCACCGCAGGTCCACAACGTGCTCGCGGTAGCACTGCCGTATGCAAGCACCGGCCTTCCCGCCAGCAGGCGTATCGGCAATCTCATTGGGCATCTGGGACCGCACGGGTATCAGCCAGGCCCGCACGTGTATCAGCCAGGCAGCCGGGCACCCACGCGCCCGCTCCGCGCCATCGCAGACGACGATGCGTCGCGCCTTTAGTATGCTTCTGGATGCGAAGACCATTCGGTTGAGTATACCCCTACGTGTGACTGGACCTGTTTGCGAAAGCAGGAGAAAGTATGGCACCCCTTTGTGTCCAGAGCCGCGCCGTCTGCGTTCTTCCTTTCTCGCTTCTCTCCTTTCCTCCTTGTCCTGCTCCTCCTCCCCCTCTTCCGCCTTGGAGCCGTATTGGAACTGTCGATGGCCATCTCCCTTTCTCCCTCGCATGTCTGCTTGTACATACGTATAATTTCAGAACTTACCGTGCATGCGATCGTTTACAACATGGTGGACCGTGCGTATGTCACGAACCTTGTATACATGTGTTTCTCTCCCTCCGTCTGGCTGTGCACGCGCGCGTTGGGCACTGAGAGTTAGGATCATAGCGCCATGAGTCTATGAGCAATGCATGCGTCATCCTTGGGACTGTATAACATCAGTGTAACACATGTACTTCTGTAATCGCATCCCCACGAATTTGCCCCAAAAATGTGACCAACTATCTTGGCACTGCGTACCATCTCACGTGTACCGTGTACCACATCATATGTAACAGATGTGATCAACCTCTGTGGGTGTGTACCCCACGCCAGTGTAGTAGCCAGGGTCGTCCGCACGCCACGAAGTGAAGTGTCCCAACGTCATAGGGCGGGAAGCTGGGTGTGGGTGGTCTCGAAGAGTCGTTTGGATATTTGGTAGAGCTTGAACGGCCCCCCCACGAAGTGGGGGTATTGGCTGGTGTCGCAAGAAAACCCTGGCACTGGGGAGAACGCTGAGCGTTCGGGTAAAATGATTGTTGTTGTTGTTGTTGTTGTTGTTGTTGGTGTTGTTGTTGTTGTTGTTGTGTTTGTTGTGCTATTTGTTTCACACCGTCTGGGCTTCGATCCGCCGTGCCTGGACGGATTTTCTGATGTGAGCTTCCGTCGGACATGCAGCCCGACGATTCGAGCAAGCAGGGCAGAGATGCCGGCCTCAGAATGGGTGCGGCGGTTAGTTCCGCAGAGGGGCAGAACTCGACGAGCTCGAACAGCAGGGCGGGAGCTTACGCCCTGCGTGCGACGTCGCCCACAGTGCGGCGTGTGCGAAGTCCGGGCGGGCGCCTTCGCCGGGCCCTCGGGCCCCAGGAACATCACATCGCAGATCGGTTTGGCTCGAGAGATGTCGCAGAAAGACAGGGCATGGGGTTATCGCCCGCTGCTTTTCGCCCGCCTTCTCTTTCGCGCGCGGCTTTTCGCTTCCCTCGGCCATGGGGTTATGGGGTTATGGCCGTGATCTTGGGGTTATGGTGTCATGGGGGTATGGTCGGTGTCATGGGGGTTATGGTCGCGATCTTTCGCTGTGTTGCACTCTTGTGTGACGTCGGATCTCGGGGTCAGGCTGGCGCGGACCCGCGGGTGCCAGGCCCACGTCCCCTGTCCGCCCTCCTCGTCGTCCTCGCCCAGAGGAGCAAAGGGTACGGGCCGTCCGACCCTCGTCGTCACAGCTGGGTTCGTTTCGAAATCTCGGCCAGAACGCGCCCCAGGAGCTGCCCGCGGAGTGGCGGTATCGGTATTATTTTGCTTCCACCTGTCTGTCGTCGTCGTCATCTTCCTCGTCGACCTCGGGTCGCACTCGTTGTGTCTCGTCCTTGCCGTCGTCGTCGTCTTCGTCGTCGTTGTCGTCGTCGTCGTCGTCGTCGTCGTCGTCGTGGTCTGTCGGTCGGTCGCTCGCTCACTCGGTGGGTCAGTCGGTCAGCGTCCCCAGCTCTGCCGCGATATGTCGAGGAAGTTCAGATTCGGTTCGGTTTGGTTCGGGGTGCACCGGTTCTGGTTGGCTCTGGATCGGTTTCGAAGGAAAACGTTTCCGGTTCACCCAGTTCGGTTCGAAATTACACAGTGTCCTTGGGGTGAGAGGCTGGATGGACTCCTTTCCGTTACCCCTGGTCAGAAATCCACGATGAGCGTTTCCTCAGCGGCAGGACGAGCTCAGTTACTTATAGGAGAGGGCATTTTAATTTCCCCGGGGTAGAGTCAGAAACTAGACGGGACCGTTCGGGTTTCCCTCAGTGAACGGGTAAGTTCAATAGTATGCGATTTTCTGACATGGGTGTTTGGTTTGTTGCGGTCCAGGGACTCGTTGAACATTTTGGCATGAGTATTATGTTGGCAGCGTGCGCTGCAGGGTAGCTGTTGTGCAACCCAAGAAATAAGATTTCCCACCCCTGCGAGCAAGCTCCCAGGCCGGCCGTCCAGCGTTCTTTGTTCCGTCCCTCCTTCCTCCCTCTCCCCCTCTCTCGCCCTCTTCCTGCCTTTTTCTTTTTGTTAGTTTCTCTTTCTAGTCGTGGGCGAACGGGTCCAGGTCCCGATCGGGTTGTGCCCGAATCTGTTTTTTAATGGTTTGGCGCTGGTTTCGCCCATGGATGTAGCGATATTCAGAGGAGATGTTCGCGTCGTGTGACGTGCGTCCTGTCTGGATAAGCATGTGCGTTGCTCGTGGCGAAGTCTTGCAATGTTTTGCTAGCCGTCGTTCTCAACGT